TTAAGCCCAACTTGGACACCATAGAGCAGAAGCTGGATGCTGCCAATGGCTTGGTGAAAACATCAGCCAATTGGGCCAAAGAGGAAACTGGTAGAAGATGAACCAAACCAGAGGCAATCTTTTTATACGTAACATGACAATCCAGCTCAATATGTTTTGAGCGTTCATGAAATGTGGCATTATGAGCCAGATATATTGCGGATCGATTATCACAAAAGATGGATGCAGGCCTATTCCAGGGAAGCCCAAGATCATCGAACAAGAACTGAAGCCATAGCTCACACGAAACACATGCTAATGCCCGATACTCTGCCTCCGATTAAGAACGGGATACAGCAGATTGCTTCTTGGACTTCCAGGAAACTAAGGAGGACCCAATAAAAATGCAAAAACCAATAATTTAGCGTTGTGTGTCAGGGCAGCATGCCAGTTGTAACAGCCCGTTATATACCGGTAATGTTATCATTGCATATGGTATTAAGAGCAGTTACAATCATAGTAATTGAATTAATTAAATTACGGGTAAACTTTTTCTTTTTATTAAATCCTTAACTTTTAACATTAACCATTTCCATAATCAATTAAAACAACACCGAAATTGTAAATGCAAAACTCGCGGAAGCATAAAACTTATTCATTATAACCCCTCCAAATAATACCATTAACTCTAGGTTATAAAATGACACATTTTCAATTTTTGCACAGTGGGAATCGATTCCCAATAGCCAGGAATCGATTCCCAGCAACTACAGTAACAGACAGAAGCTTAATTTTTGCTCCCCTATTTTTAGGAATCGATTCCCAGCCTTCACAGTTGCTAAAAATCACGTGCTCTGTTTCAGGTAATCGATTCCCAACAGCAGGGAATCGATTCCCTGCTGTGAAATACCAGTTTTGACAGCTTTCTCACTTCACAAAGGATCCATAATTTCATTCCTAACACTTTAATACTTAATATAACCCATGTATCCTTACTAATGTATGCTCTAGACCTTTCCATCATGCATATTCATTATATAATGCATCAATTACAACATTTCCTAATTTCAAAGCCACTTAAACATCAAATGGTCACTTTACATCATAAACTCCAAATGCCTCAAAACACAAAATAAGTGGCCATGGACAAGTCTCGTGCTCACCAAGATGTCAATATAAACAAGAGGCATAAATATACATCAATTTAAAAAGACTTAGAATATAGTCATGAACACACAAAAGCATGGCAATATCAACATGCAATATGTTCATAACCTAAGTCCAAAATACTAAACACTATGCTATGTGCATCAAATGGGATCCTCCAATATGATATGCCCTCCATATGCACCTCATGCTCAACTCCTCCACTAAGCGGGCCTCTTGTCCGAAGATCCTCCATGCTCAACATAACCTAAAATAATGTCCCCAAACGCGGGGTGAGATATACAAATATATCTCAGTAAACCAAGGGTACTAGAGAATCACTCTACCCCATGGCTCACTCAATATGCATACAATGATCATCATATAAAATGCATAACATACAAAATCACAACGCTGGGCTCATATCCAAGAACATCCACAAAAGGATTCCGCTCAAGGACCCCATCATATAACTCACGGTAAGCTTCCTGGTGCCTCTCTCATGGACGAGACGACCCCATTGCAAAACCCAACTGGAACTCCTCATGAGCCCTATCCAGCGGAAGTCCCACGTTTGGATCATCCTGGTGCTGCACCCAGAGTCGACCCCACGGCAAAACCCGACCGAAATCTCCCAAAGGGATATCTCCAGCGGAAGTTCAAACCACATACATCTACTGGCCAGAGATCACGAAAATGTCACACAACATGCTCCAAGCATGTCACACAACATGCTCCAAGCATGTCACACAATCAAGCAGTGATGTATGAACATACAATTTATACAATGTCAAAGAGCACACAATCCAACCACTACCTTCCACTAGATGTGGTGGAACACAAGAGGGATAAAACCCAAGTACCAAGAGTTTACCTCAACTCCGTATGAAATGCTCCACATGTAAGCTCCAAGCTTATTCCACTTCTATTGGTTCCGTGAGAGGCAACCACCAATAGCTTCCTAGGGTCCAAGGGAATGATCTCCAACCAATGGTTCAACACAAAAGTCACCAAAAATTCTCCAAAATAACAATATTTTCGTGGCTGATTTTGGAGGATTTCTCCCTCTACAATGCTCCCCACAAGATGCACACTACATGAAAGTCATTTACAAGAGGTGGGGAACAACTTTGTAGTTGGGAGTTTCTCCTAAAAGTGTCTAGAAAAAAAGTTGTAAAATCAAAAGCTTCAAAACCCTTCCAATGGTGAAGAGCTCAACGGATGAAGGAGAAGGAGGAGAGAGAAAATTCAGAAATTGTGTCACACTTAGTCCATTTGTCACTTAAGTCACCTAAGTGGGTCCCACATGTCACTTACCTTTCCTAATTCACCTAATTTAACCCACAAATTTATAACCTACGTATTTTTCTCGTTCACGTCATATTTTTACTTCCTAGAATTACTGATCATATTTTCAGCTTATCGGTACAATTATACCGCAGTATTTTACACCAGTAAAATCACTATTCATCAAATTTTCCGAAACTTGCCTATCCACTCGATTTTTCGTTCTGAATCCATTTCCGGCATTATTTTTACCATTTGAGACCTCCTATTCAATTTTTCTTGCCTAGGGTTACGTGTTTGGTAAATTACCCATTTTACCCTTCTTATGCAATTTGACCCTAATATCAGAATTTTCACTAATCCTACCCTTTAATCCACATTTTCATACGTAAATATACATATACGAAATACAAGGTGTTATACCAGTCCGCATTGACAAAGCCTCGATATCACCAGAGGAAGAGAAGAAGAGACCAGTACCTAGAGCTCCTTTAATATATTGTAAAACCCGATAAGCAGCATCTAGATGAACATCAGAAGGCTGAGAGACAAACTGAGATAGTTGCTGCACAGCGAAATAGATATCAGGACGGGTTATAGTCAGGTACAACAAGCGACCAATGAGTCTACGATATATGAAGGCATCAGGTAGAGGAATGCCTTGAGTTCAACAAGGCTTTGTCGAAGAATCAATGAGAGATGAAACTAGTTTTGCAGCTAATAAACCAACATCCGATAGCAACTCAAGCGCATATTTGAACTGGTTTAGGACAATCCCACGTTAAGAACGAGCTACTTCAAGGCCCAAGAAGAAACGTAAGTTGCCGAGATCCTTTATCTTAAACTTGAGGTCAAGGAAAGCCTTAACACGTTCAATCTCAGCAAGGCTGTTACCTGAAAGGATAAATGATCAACGTATACGAGAAGGACTACGAAGGCCTTATCAGTGGAAAGCGTGAACATCGAATGATCTGCATTAGCTTGCTTGTAACAAATGCAGAGGAGGGAAATAGAGAGCTCAGCATACCACTAATAGCTAGCTTGCTTTAGCCCGTATAATGGCTTTTCAAGTTTACAAACTATAGATGAAGTAGAAACCAAAATTCATTGAGGTGGATGCATGCCTTTTCGTTAGATCTCTGTGCAAGAATGCATTGTTTACATGTAACTATTGAAGATGCCATCCCTTAATAGCAATAACAACAAGAAGAGTTTTGACAGTGGTCAGTTTAGCAACTGGGGAAAATGTATCAAAGTAGTCCACCCCCTCCATTTGAGTGAACCATTTGGCAACCAAGCATGCCTTATAGCATTCTGTTGATCCATTAGAATGATATTTGATTTTGAAGATCCACTTACATCCAATGGGTTGTTTTTCTTCGGGTAGGGGAACCATAGACCATGTCTTATTCTTTGCGACTGCAACAAGCTCAGCATCCATAGCTTTACGCCAGTGGTCATGTTTGATGGCTTGTGAATAAGTTTGAGGCTCGAAATATGCACAAGAGGTGAGACAAAAGTTTTTGTAGGATAGACAACAAGCAATATATGAAATAACATCGGACAAAGGATAAGAAATAGAAACACAAGATGTATAAGAATTCTTAGACGAACCTGAGAACGATGGTGGCTGCTGAGCAAAAGAAATACCATAGTGATAGTCCATTAGGTAGCGCAGAGCATTTCGAAGTCTAGAGGAACGTCGAGGGTTCTCTGAGGGAAGTAACTGTGTATCAGAAGATGTGGTTGTTTCCCTTTCATTGGTGATTTCAGGTAGAGGATCATCACATATGGAGTCTGCATTGGTGATTCCAGGTAGAGGATCATCATGTGTGGGCTCCATTCTGTTGGAAATGTTGGAGGGTTGAGTTGGTAAAGTATGACCATAGAGGTCAGGATCAAATGAAAGAAGTAGGTCAGGGGGTAAACTGTAGGTGGGAATGGTATCTTTGTTTTGAAAAGGGAATTGATCTTCATAGAAGATAAAATGGTGAGATACAAAAATGGCATGAGTGGAAATAAAAAAAACCTTTGGTCCCTTCTCTATATCCAATGAAAACAGCTTTTTGAGCCCTTGTAGAGAACTTCGTGCGAGCAGAGTGAAGGGTGGAAGCATAACATAGGCTTCCAAAAACTTGGAGATGCACAAGGGCAGGGGGCTTGTTATGTAATAATTTATAAGGAATTTTATCATTGGTGATTGGAGAGCATATGTGATTGATAAGATGAACAACATGACTTACTGCATAAGACCACAATATAACAGGTAGTGAGGCTTGAAAGAATATGGCTCTTGCTACATTAAGTTGATGCTAGTGTTTTCTGTTGATAGTGGCATTTTGTTGTGGCGTTTCAACGCAGCTAGTTTGATCTACCACTCCTTTTTGTAAAAAAAAAATCATTCATACGGAACTCAGTTCCATTTTTGCTACGAAAGGTTTTGATGGTGGTGTGATATTGAGTCTCAAAATAATCAAAGAGATGCTTGATGTGTTCCCTTGTTTCTACTTTACTTTTCATTAAAACAAGCCATGTAAAAGGTGAAAAATCATCAACAAGTGTTAGAAAATATTTTTGGCCATGAATAGATGGAGTGACAAATGGACCCCAAATGTCAACATGAACTACATCAAACACTTTGACACTTTTATTCTGACTATGATAAAAAGGGAGTAATTTTTGTTTTGCTAAATGACATGCATCGAATGGGTGTACATGACTTGAACTAATAAAGGGAAAAGTATATGACATTTTATGCAGAACTACATTTGAGACGTGCCCCAATCATCTATGCCATAAGGATGTGTTGTCTACTGAACTGGTGGACAACTTATTTGATACACAGTTTTATAAGGTACAATTTTGATATGCTCCTTTGTCATGGACTATCACATATAGGCCGTTCTGTTCCTCAGCAGTACCAATCATCGCTTGGCAGGGAACCTGTTTTATGAAACAAAAATGACCACTAAAGGTTAGAAAGAAATTGATAAAATTAACTAATTTAGTAATATATACCAAATTTGCACGTAACTCAGGGACAAATAGTACATCTGATAAAGTGGGTGTGGGTGAAAGAACTACTGAACCTGAATATGATGACATGACACTAAAACCATCAAGTAACATTATGGCTATAGGGGCAATTTTGTGAAGAGATGAAAAATTAGAAACTAAGTAAGATATATGGTCAGTGGCTCCAGTGTCAACAATCCATTGACCATGCAGTATACCTGGTGCATTTGTGTTAGAATGAGAAACATGTGAAAATTAGTAGTGTGTGTGGATTGGTTCACAGGGTTTTAGAGAAGTGATATGAGTTGCTGATACTACTCATAGGAGAATTGAGGAGTTATAGCATCAGGTTGTTGATTGTGCACATTCGGGGAGTTCTCATCTGAACCAGTATTAACCACATTGTTGCTGGTATGTTGAGTATCTGCATTTCTTGAACAAAAAACCCGGTGGATAACCATGCAATTGGTAGCAGGTTTCTATTATGTGGTTAGATCTACCACAATGCGTACAAATTCTATTTCCAGAAGCTCCTCGTCCTCTATTTCTTTTTCCACAGCCTCTGCCATATCTACCAAATGAATGATGGGAGCTTCCACGACCTCTGCCATTGCCTGCATTGTTATTGAAACCAACAAAAAGGTTGTGGATTAGTGTAAACTCCATCGTTTGTACCAAATCTGAACTGTCTTTCTTGCTGCACCACCATAGAGAAGGCTTTGTTGACATTTGGAAGGGGATCTATCATCATTATCTGAGATCTAACAACTGCATATTGATTATTGAGGCCTTTGAGGAAGTGGATCACATAATCTCTATCACGGTATGGTCGCATTTGCGTCATTGCTCCACAAGTGCATGGAGGAAGTCATTCACAAGAGGGGAGAGGTTTGAGATTCTCTAACTCATCCCATAATATTTTCATCTGAGTGAAAAATTCAGTCACAGTTCGTTCTCCTTGATGGATCTTGTAGATCTCTTGTTGGAGATCAGAGATACGGAAGACATCACTTTGTGCAAATCAATCAAGCAGATCGATCCATACATCACAAGCATTTTCAACCCATATGATCGACTTCACAATTGATTCAGAAATGGATCTGTGGATCCAAGACATCACCATTGTATTACATCTCTGCCACTGAGAATAGGTTGCATTATCAATTGGAGGAGGCACAATTGAGCCATCAATGAATTTGATCTTGTTCTTGGAGAGCAAAGCTACGCTCATTCCACGAGCCTAAGTGTGGTAGTTTTTACCTGTTAAGAGAGGAGAAACAAGAACCAAAAAAAGGATTCTCATTTGAATGTAAAAAAGTGGACTCGAAGGATTTGTATGAAAATCCATAAGAGGAGGGTTTGCATCTGCCATTGTTACTGATGAGAAGAAGATCTATGGAGGCAAAAGTACCAAAGCAATATTGTTCTGATACCATATCAAAAACTGAGAACTCTCATAATTGGAAAATCTAAATATTATTGAACGAACGAAGTTACTATTACAATTCACCACCCATGTATATATAGGTGACATAAAAATACATAGCCATCAAGAAACTCATCTATCAAAACTCAAAAGGAGCTAACAAGAAAAGGAGTCCAATAGATAACAAACTAACTAACTTGTAATAATAGATAACGGCTCTATTCTGTTATGATTCGTTTGGTGCATGTGTACTGAAGAAGCTAAATGAGCAGAAGCTGCACGCGAAATGTTTTTAGAATCACGGGGAGAATTGTGCATATCAAATTAATTTTAATCTTATTTTATTAGTCAAGATTAATTTTATTTAAAACTAATCTTAACAACCCATATAAAATTATTCCTGCACAATATACTTTTGTACCCTGACTCCAAAATCTATACAAATTATATTTCTACACCAACCCATCACGAATTGAAACTCGCGCAATCTCTCCTGATCTCTCCATTTTTACCAGTCTTAACCCCAACCCTTCCTAGCTTCCTCATGGCCGTAACAAAGGCCCCATTAAAATCACCAGGGCTGTTCGCAAAACCAACCACCGTAGACCGTGACTTCTTGTCCGTGAACAACACTTGGTCCGAATTCAGCAACCCTTCCCCTGAAACCAAGTTTTTGTAATACAAGTTATCAAAATTTGACGGCGTTTGGAAATCAAGAGCAACCGCTACGGTGGGGTCGGGGTTTCGAGGGCATTCAGCCATTAACTGTTTGGCAAAGTTAGAGTTCAAAGTAGGGTCCACAGAAGAGGAGTATAAACGGTTTGAAAACTGGTCGCAATGTGAGAAACCTATGGTGTGGGCCCCAGAGAGTGCAATCATATCCGTTTGGCTCAAACCGTGCTTTGAGAACATTGCGTTCAGTTCATTGAGATTGAAATCTGCTTTGGGAAGTTTTCCTTCGACATCTGATGCCTTAGAAATCAGCCCGTCTCTACGTCCAAGTTCTACTTTGTATGATGGGCCATTAAGCTGAAATAGTTGCACATAAACAAAATTAATATATCATAAACAAGTGGCACCATTTATTTAATTATTGTTGAAATTGTTGTTATTTGAATTCAATTAACATTATTAAATTAATATAAGGTAATATTAATGTAAATAAATTATACACTCGGTGTGCATCAAAATAAATTATGTGGGATTGAGGTGTACATTAGGATTTAATCACATGTGATGTTATAGTTGTGTGATTTAACTAGGATAAAAAATATTAGTACATATAAAAAATGGGTTTGCAACTTCTGTTGTTACTGCAGGAAGAAAAAAAAAATAGTGGGGTTCGTCATATATATATATATATATATATATATTTTTAAAGTAAACAAATTTTTATTTTTTGAATCAGCTGTAGGGGAAAATTTATGCAGCAACAGAAGAAGTATGTTTCTTTTAAAAAATATCATATAATATTAAAATTATATCTTAGAAGAATTTAGAGTATTCTAGATAATCTGATTTCCTTATTTCTATTAATTTTATTTTATCTATTTAGAATAAAACAGTATGATACATATTATATAAATATAAATATTATACAGTCTTCTCCATACTTCTTCCTCTATACTTATATCTCTATGATTTCAACAAATTATTATGAAAAATTGTTAAGAAAACACTTTTTGACTTTTTTAAAATATTTTTTATTATTAGATAAAAATTTATTTCCTAAAATAGAAAGTGAGTTGAGAATGAAATTTCTTTAACAATAAATTAGGTGTTGAAACAAAAAGTTACTAGTGTGCTAGTATCATTTGAAATGAAACAATTGATTTTGGATTTTGCTAATTATATAGTGTTAAATTCAAAATTGCTTACCAAGACAATAACATCTCTTGTAGCAAGTGCCAAAATGTCTGCGCATGAGACCACACCAGGGCATGAAGCTTCCACTGCTTGCTTTGCCTTTATCACAGTGTCAAACCCATCTCCAGCTAAGGAAAGATTGTCCGATGCATCCTTCTCTGCATCCCCATTTGGCGACGAAATCATCACCGAGGCATCACATCCCTACGTGATCACAATTCTTCATTAGATAGATAGATAGATATCGAAGTTAAAATTTTGCCTTTCTCCATAATGAAATTGAATGCGATTTTTAATTAATGTGTTTATGCGTGTTCATGTGGTTGTAGTTGGTCAAAAATTAACAACTCAACCAAGGATTTTTTTGTTTACCTCGTAGTCAATGTTTTTTTTCTTCTTCATAATCTAGGTTGGTAGCAAACACGTGTACTTGTGTGGTGACTGCTTCCAAGCATATTTATCATTATATTTGTGAGAGAAATATAAAAATTATTAGTATAGTATTATCCAATTGGCTTAAACTTTTTGATTGTCTCGTGGGTTCGATTCTTACTTTAATTAATAAATAAATAATTATTATAGAGTTTGTTTAGCACATATAGGTAGACTTATACATTATTCACTCTTCAAATTTAATGAATTTTTGTGTGAAGAGACGTGTTAGAGAAATACAAAAACTATTAATATAACCTCATTCAACAACTTAAACTTTTAAGTTGAATTGTTTCTTTTCAATATTATACAAAAATAATAAAATAGATAGTCACGAATACCATTCCAAACGCTTTATTGCAAATTTCTAAATGTTGACATTTACATAGGATTAAGAGGAATGAAAAAAGAAGAATAAGCCTCCGCCAGCCATAAAAGTCATGAAAGATATTTCAAAAGTTCAAATGCCTACATGAACGAAAAAAAAAAAAAAAAAAAAACAGAACAAGAATTAACAGAAGAAAACTATACTATGTAATAAAGTGCATTATATTTATCATGATATATACAATTTTAAATTTTTTTGCTTTATATAAAAACACTGAAAGATATATATCATATAGAAACATGTAAGTGAGGAAATAAAGATATATATATGAATTGAGGAACTTAAGGTACCTGAACAAAGCAATCATGGAAAAACAAACGCAGAGTTGCTTGTCCAGTGGTGATGGTCTGTGTGAACTTCGTGGTCACAGCCTGGGAGACTATGGATTCAACGTTTGGACAAGTTGAACTATAGAAATTCTCTGTTAATTGGCCTTCTCCTATAGATATAATCGTAAAAGCCATAAACGTAGCCATTAATACAATCCTCATCATGATCTCCATCTTCTTCTCTGCCTATAGCTATGCAAGTGTCTCCACAATTCTATTACCCTTCTATTTATACATGTATTCTCTTTCTTTCTTTTTGTGGTTGAGGAAGTGGCAGAGGAATCCGTGTCACTATACACTAAAAGAAAAAGAAAATTAAAATTAAAAAAAAAAAACAGAGAAGAGAATGAGACAAAGGTGATTAATTACTTGTTTACCCTCCAAACCATGTAATTTTTTTTAGTAGGTCCAAACCATGTAAATACGTATACTATAGCTGGAACCTGCCGTGGTCCATGCGCTGCGCGGGTCATTTTAACGTGTCAAAATTGGATATTGCTCTTCAAGTCATCATATTGGGTCTTGTTATGGTATTTACTCATATCTTAATGAATTAAAAATATTTTTTTATTGTATATTATTTCAATTAAACGACTCATATATTTCCTGCTTAATGAAGAAAGAAAAAATTGAGTTATATTTTTAATGAAGATATATGATAGAGAAATTAATAAATAAATATATATATTAAATTTAAAACTATAAAAATAACATTTAATATTATTCATCAAAACTTTATTACACAGATGTTGATTCGTAAATATAATAATAAAGTCAAACACGCTTTCTTAGTTAAATGTGTTTCTTTCTCTTTCTTCAATGCAAAGCTTTCTTGTCCTTTTTTTCATTAAATATTAAAACATTAAACAAGAATATCATATTTTAATATTTAACCTTATGATATATATATATATTTTTTGGGAACAACCTTATGATATTTTAAAATATTGATTGGTTGATATTTTTATACATCATATTTTGAAATTTGTGTGAAATTTAAAAAAATAAATCCTAATATCGATTGATTGATTGAAAAACTAACGTTTGATAATTTAAAAAATATTATCTAAAAAAGATACTATTGATTGGTAGTGGGAATTTGTCGTTATCATGGATCCCGTCAATCCTATAAGATTTAGCCACATTCCTGACGTTCTTATTTGCTAATATATAATACTTCTTACTATACAACAGCATGCACAACAATTTTGCTTGCCCAAGTCCAATTGATTCATTTGTTCTATTTAATTCTTCAATTTGCTAAAAATATGCTGGTTATGGTGGAGTCTAGAAAGATGTCTTTGCTTGCTTTCCTACTTGTCAATTTTTCAACATTTATATGAGGAAATTTTCCAAATCGTGTTTTAATTACATAGAATGTCATATTCCCCTCCATTAAGACAACCTCCTATAGTATTGTTTCTGCCACACGCAACTGATGTCTAAGATAAAAAAGAGTTATTTCTTATTTCTACACTACACCTTAATTCAAATGAGAACAAATAAATAAGTGATTAAGGCTCTGTTTGATTTTTGTTCTTCACAATAGTTTTTTAATTTTAAAAGCAAAAAAATTAAAAAACTTGTTTGGTATAAGTTTTCTATATTTGCTGTTCAAAAAACAACAACTGTTCTTTAGCTTTTAAAACAAAAAATAGAGTCTGTTTTTGTTCTCTATTTTTTACTTTTACTCTTAAAAGTGACAGGAGAACAATATTTCATTAATGCCATTCTGGTAATTATAATCAATCATATTTGTTTTCTTCTTTTTTTTTTTTTACAAAAACAGCTTTTATATGTTGTTTTATAAAATAATTTTAAAAATAAAAATATATTCAAACATACCCTAATATGTTGATAAATAAAAGTGTGTGAGGCCCATGTAAAAAGAAGAGAAAAATAAAATAAAATATGGGTGCCACACACTTTTATGTCTATAGAAAATAAAATTATCTTATATAACATAAAACACTAATCCTCAAAAAAATAAAGTACAGTTCAATATATATTTTGTAATCATTTTGCATTATTAGAATTGTATGACGTGCTCACTAACATCTGTGTTTAAAGAAAATGACACATTAATTTTTGTTATTTATGTTAGATTGGGTCATTATTTTTTATGATAATTATTGAAACCTACGTGTCAAGCTTCACAAACAGATTTACAAAAGTTTCGATCTTAATTAATTGTTTTTGTTTTACGTGGAATCGTTAGCTGCTACTTGATTATTTGGTTGAAAGCTCAAGTTGTAAATTTGCAACGGGACCGCCAATGGAACGCGTGCAATCTTATATTAATTTCTTTGCTAGTTACTATACGATTTTGACTCTTTAACCAATCTAGATGCATCCCGTGCAAGTGCATACCATGGCGTATTCAAAATTAAATTTTATATCATCACCTCTTATTGACTATTTAATTCAGATTAGGTGTGGAATTGATATTACCGTTTCTCGTTTTGCTTCTTTTTTTTTTTTAATTAGTCTATCCAGTTAGGTTGTATAGGTAGCATGCAGCCATCAAAGCCCATTCAAAGCAAGTACCACCATATATACTTAAACTTAATTAAGTTTTTATTTGGCTGTGAATGATCTTTCACTAAGTAACAACTTTTTTGGCATTAATTTTTGCAAACCCATACTCGTGACGGCTTGATTCCTTGGATGTTTTGAAACTTCACAAAGTTAATGGTGTGTTTGGTACAAGGATATCAAAAGGAGTACTGGTAAATTTTCTTTGGTAAACGTCAATAACCATATTTGGTAGAAGTAACAAAAATCAGTTCTCGAATATTCAAGATTTACTGGTAATTTGATTTACAAAGAAAAGTCACGGTTCAGATTACCAAAAATAATATGGTAATTCAGAATTTCGAGTAAAGAAAAAGCACAACAACAATTTTTGAAACAAACATATCCCAACACACATCAAAACCCAAACCCAATCTATCAATTACAAAAGTAAAAATAGTTTGGGATTATTTTTGTAAAATAACCTCATATTCCAAGTCATATTTCGTTCTAAACCAAACATGAAATGTGGGACTATATATCTCAACACGTCCCCTCACGCAAGAGCCCTTTAGGCTAGAAGCGTGGAAATTGCACAAGCCCATTTTTGGTTTACCTTTCTGTGCTTTTTTATTTTATTTTAATTCCTCTTTTTTAAAGCGGGGGAATGTGAGGCTCTGATACCATGTTAAGAACCTTGGGATACACCACCCCAAAAGCTAGCTCAAGGGGTGGAAGTGCCCAAGACCTTATAAAGGTCATATTAGTTACCCATCCATCAATGTGAGACTATATATCTCAACAGAACCAAACACATTTTTTGTAACATTCCGAGTAAACTCAATTTCTATTATATTTTCAATAATCGTGATTTCTGAATACCAAAAAATTTCTCTTGCACCAAACACACCCTAAGAGTATAGTGCTGGAAACTAATTTCTTATAATTGCTCTTTGCGAACAGTTTTTTTTTTTTTTTCTTATTCTTTTTGAAATGGTAATAAAACTTTTTATCCTTAAAAACAGCTTCATATACTTGCATACAAATATATAATTCAGAGTTGACTCGACTAGCTGAACAGTCCAACTCACAATTTATCCAATTTGAATTGATCAAAATCAACTAAATTGGCAATTCGTTTTTTAAATAATATCAATATTTTCAAATTTTATACATCTTCATTAATCTCAGGTTATTTACTATTATTATTATTATCATCTAAGAAGAGGTTATACTTATAAGTCATAGTGAGTGAAATATCCAAGCAGATTTTAACACCCAAAAAAAAAAAAAAAACTCAGAGATTTGACCAAGTATGGTGTGGCGGTCTTGTGCCAATGTTGGTTGGAGTGTGTTGTCTGGTCATGGACTAAAAGCTAAAAGCTACCGTTAACGAGGAACTCTTATTTAGAGTCTATTTGAATTAATTTTTTTAAGTTAATACTAAAAAAAAATTTGGTGCTTAAATGAAATTTTAACTTAAAAACTCTTTGGCTTTTGACTTCTTTTTCATTATAAAAAAAATTCTTTTTATTAAAAGAGCTTTAATAAAAATATATTTGGTCTAACTTCTTCTTATAACAAAAGAAGAAACTAAAAAAAAAAACATTCAAACAAGTATTTAGGAGGCGTTTAGTATAGGAGAAATATTTTTTTATCCGAAAATCACGATTTTTAAGAATATGGTGAGAAAGTGAATTTCACGTGAATATTATCAAAAAATTGTTTGGTAGATAAAATATTTTCGGGAATGTTAGATCAATTTTTCTGATGCTATGTTTGGTTAATTGTAAAATAGTGCCGGGAATGTGGAGCCATTTTACAAAATTAACCCGTAAACCAAAAAAAAAAAAATTACACACAAATTTGTCACCTTGTTCGAATTCAATTTCCAGAAATCTGAGAAAATTCGAGCTTCATTGATTTACGAATATTGGGGTCACTGTTCTTGCCAAAACATTCCCAAAATAATTACGAGGCAGAGGTTGATTCAGTCTAGTAAGAATATCAGCATTGAACAGAACCAGAGTTGGTTGATTGTCACCAAGTTCATGAGCCTTAGATGCACATCTCCATATATGTGCAGCAATAGCTTTATGCTATATGGTCTTGCATCCACACGAAAAATAACTTTTCCCTTTTAATTTTTTTTTAAAAAAAAATAATAATTCATAAAAAGTCTTTTTTTCAAAAGCTCATCAAAATAGGTCCTTGGTGGTTTGTAGTTGGGTGGAGATTTGATGCAACAAAGGGTTCTGCTTGAGTGTTAAGAATAGAAATTTAGAGAGGATGGTTTTGATCTTTATTTAGGTTTATTTGTCATAAAAAATGAAAAATGTTTATGAAAAAGTGAGTACTTTTTATGAGCAATTCTCTTAAAGTTGAAGTGTGACCCAAAATATTGCATTAAAACAACTTGAATAAAGAGAACAATGAGGATTTGGTTGGATTTTCCCACCTCAGAAAAAATGGTGAGTGGGGAGGAAAAAGAAAAATCATAGTTGGAGAGGAGATGGGATCCATATGTTGGACTCTTCATCAATGATGTGGATCCACATGTATAATAAATAACATTACAAAGGTGATATAGATCTTCGTTTGTCTCATTATCAATTTTTCATTTAGATAATGCTTAATAATCAAATCCACCCACATTTCAAAACACAAGGACACTAATCAAACAAAATTTAATGGGAAATCACAATCAAATAGTGACATATTTACATGGACCAAAAATATATTTAAATTAAAACAAAAAATAGGAATTATATGTATTATTTACAAAGTTCCAATCAACATGCTTATATATTTTTGGCACAGAATGTGTATAAATTACGTTTAGCAAATTGCTCTGGGAAGGAAAGAAAGAAAGGAATGAGACATAGATAAAAGAAACTACCAAATGGGCTTCACTGTAATTTCGAGAAAAAATACAGAGCTGTCAAAAAAAGCCCTAAGTCCGTGGTTCACCCCTCCAACCCTCATTTCCAGGCCCTTTTTTTTAGCCCTCACGTGATTGGGGTTATTTTTTACCCTCACCCCAATAACCCTCATTAGTCATTCCTTTTGGGTTATGAAGGGGTCAACCGCGGGCTACCCATTTTTTATCATAACCTAATTTCCTAATTTTACTTTCTGGTCTTCATGCGATTTTGCTTTTATTTCTTCAAGAATTGAACGTTCTTCTTCAACCGATATTTTTTTTCTTGTTCTTCACATAGGCTGTTCGATTGCTCTTCTGACAGAGAGATTTTTGATTCTGAATGGAGTTTACTTGATTCAGAAGCTGTGGTAACATGTGAGCTTCTTCTTCTAACTTTGAAATTTCATCTGGGTCTTTTTTCCTTTTCAATTTAAATTGTGCTATCTGTGCTATCGAGTAACTTTAGGACTTCTTGTTTGAATTTTTCTTTGATTTTGCAAATGTTGTGCAAATGAGAATAATGTTATCTTTTTGTATTCTTCCCTCACCATTGATTTGAATTTAGATTATTGAGTTCCTTTCACGTTAGCTTATATCACAAAAGGTTTTTGTCTATAGTTATTTGTACTTGTCTCCCTTGATGTTTGCCACAATGCCCTGTGTGTATAAAGAAGGTAAACATGTTATAAAGCAACGAAGGAAATGGTTAACCTATTTTAGCACTCTGAGGATATCACTGAGGACCCTGTTTATTAATTGTCTCCTATCAGCATCATCTTGAATCTCGTGATTTTGTTGCTGAGTTGAGATAAGCTCGTTAAGGTAGTCTCTTTGGCGCAACATCCAACCTTGGAGAAATGCCTCAAATGAAGCAGCATTTGCATTATTAGTCATCTACGTATTCAGGGGTGAGAAACAGAGAGTAAGATGGTGAAGGAAAATGGAGAATATGGTATGGTGGGTGGTGATTAGAGCATGTGATTCAATAGGGTTGTTGGGAAAGTGAGTTTTGTTCAAAAGGGTATGTGAAATTATTGTTTTTCTTAGTGTTGAAGCATTGTTTGGATGGTGGTTGGAAGAGAAGCCTAATGGCGAAAACAGAGTCATTTGGAGCAAAACAGAGTTGAGCAGTGTTAAAGTTAGGAAATCAGAGATAATAGAAATATTGGTGAGGGGTTTGGTTTCGGTGCAATTTGTCGCCGCATGCTTCTTTTTGAGGAAAGTGTTAATGCTAAAAAAAAATTATGTGAAATAGAAAATGGGGTAAGGGGGGATGAACTGCAGTTGAGGATTTTGATGAGTTAGTTGTGGGGTTGGCTCTTCATGTGAAGTGCTCAATTATGATGGGGTATTAGGGATTTGGGTTTTTTGATGCATGCTTGGTAATGGGATTAATCGGTTGACATGGTGACACATGCAAATGGCATGCTACCTTAAGTTGCTGTCTTTGTTTACACTGTTAGTTATTCCACACACTGAGGCCATCACCTTGACTCAAAACCAGGACATGGTGTGCTATATTTGGTGACGAACTTGGAGACCCAAATACTCCTTCCCCTTCAATTACATAAACAAAGGAATTCCATGACTCTTGAATACTTTGATGCAACACAGCTCCTGGCATCATTGAGAAATCAAGGAACATGGATGGAGTTCTTGTGTACACATGAGAAAGAACTCCCATTGCTTCTCCTGCTATTACTCTCACTTCAACCCCATCTTTTTCTGCTCCCGGTATGTTCTCACTCGGAAGTTCTTGATAATTAGGTTCAATCCTGATTCAAAAGTCCAACAAATTAAAAATAAAAATAAAATGTCAAATAGTCATCAAACACAGCAATTAGAAAATCTTTGGTTAATGGGATAAGATATCTATATTACATTTTGTCATTGGATGATAAATTGATCCAAAGCTGCAATCCCTTGTTGCTTGCTTCTGCTGGCATTTCAGAGTGAATTATTCCTCTGCCTGCGGTCATCCACTGCACATGATGATGTAACAGTCCATTTTGAAGCTAAAGCAAAAGAGTTAACTGAAATTTTGAAAGAGCAGTACTATCCATGGTTTGCGCAGTATATGGTTATGAAAAGGTTAGCATACCTCATAAATCAGATCATGTGATTGCTTACTAAAATTATATCCATGCAGATATATGTGCATGGACATACTGTGCTGATAGTGAGTATCCTTGGGGTTTTTATTTTTTACTGATTAAGTGCAGCAGGATACTTCAAAATGGACTGTTGGGGTAAAAGATGGAATTTAAAAATATGGGTTACTTAAACAGATTTTAGAAACTCAGAAGTTTGGTTTTGTATCACTTTTAAGTTCTGCTGTACTGGAAAGGTAATGAGAGTGTAGCTAGGTAATAAAGTCACTTTTGTATGATTGTATTATGAATTGTATTGAATTCATAGATACTGTCGGTGTACTCGATTTGCACTATGAGATAAACTGAACCAAGGGTAAATAACTGACCTGTTGACTCAGCTTAAGCATGGAATAAGTAGTACCAGATGAACCAACATTAATACTTCTCTCCATCTCTCTATTGAATTTTATGAAAGTGTGAGCTGAAGAATAAAAGTTGAGATAGATCTGGAAATCACTTAAAAACAGGATACAGGAGGGAGTTGCTTGGGGATAATGGAGGATGTTTCATATTTACTTGGTTTGTGCATGGATACTAAATCCTTTCTTTTCTATGATGGTATAAGAGTGCTTAAAGCAGATGTCCTTTCCCTCCCTTTCTCCCTTTTTGTTGTATTTGTTATCATAATTTTAATCCTTAGATAAATAAAATAAATTAGTTTTAACGCTTCCGTTAATTTAATCCTACCTTTTTTGGGCAAGTGCTAATTGAATAAATTAATTGAACCTATATAGCGGCTGCTTTGTGGCATAGCAATTAATTAGATCTTGCTTTTTCAAATTCATTATTAATATAAGCAGTTTATTAGGTAGATTAGAATCGCAAAAATTAGATCCCCCTGTAACTCATTAAACCATGTAGAATGACGTAGCTGCATCCAGCAATGCGTGTAATGTGCTGATTTCTTATCCCGCAGCTCATAGGCTACTTTCAACCTATGAACATTATTATGCAGAAAATAGGGTGTAATGTGAACGTTGTGGCCATGTTGATTGTACAAATTTGCAAACTAGCTTGTAGCTGAAGATTAAAACATGAAGATAATGTCATATATTTAATTTTCCGCTATAATAAGCATATCTCTCTCCCGCCCAGGTGATTGCTCCAACTCATAATTATATTTGATTTCTCTTATACCATTTGATACTCAACTTTTTGGTAGAGCGAGCATTGAGCCAAATTTTCATGACTTGTACCTGAAATTCCTGGATAAAGTTAATTCCAAGGCTTTAAACAAAGAGATTGTCCAGGCAACTTATGAAAATTGCAAGGTTTGAGCCTTGTTATTGTTCCCTGCTTGATTAAAGTAAAGGTGTTCAAATAATTTGAAATAATTATTGGTGTTTGTATAATCTTCAGGTTCTTTTAGGATCAGAGCTCATATCTAGGGAGCTGGCTTGGGAAGTTAACAATTGGCCGGAACCAAGTTCTGAGGGCTCGTGAAATAGACCCAAAATCTTTGATTATAGAGGTAATTTTCAAATTGATTGTATTTTTTAGCTGGTGTTTAAATATATAAAAGCAAGATATATATTTAAGGCAGTTATCGGTTAACCTTGTAAAAATTTATCAATGGGATGGAAAGTGTTCAGTATTATGCCATACTTGGACACCTCTCTGGATTTAAACTTTGGTTTGGTTGCCTCTCGCTGTAAACAGAAACTTGCTTTTATATTTAAAGAAAATCTCGTCCAATGAATAGTGGAGAAACATGTGCTGGATCCACCCTCCAAGCAATTTCAATTAGAATATTGACAAAAGCCACCATGCACTTTAACATACATCAGTGCATATGTCACGGTATTATTCCCGAATCATGATGAAAGTTTGGTGACCTAAATTATACTATATCTCCGATAAGTGTCTCTTGATTTTCCTTCACCTTCCCTTTTTATTTTATGTTGTAACAATTTAAAATTACAATTGCCGTTGTGATTGCTTTTCGATTACTGAAATTGTATAAAGTTATGGACGAATGCGGCTATAGTGGTGATGCATCTGTAAGGAATTTTCAAACCACAATATTGAGTTCACAATTTTATAATTGCAATTGCGGACTGCAATTTAAAGCCATGAAACTAAACATTTATCTTGGGAATAAAAAAAAAAAAAGAGAGAGAGGAGGAAAAACTGTACAATTATCACGATAAAAAATGAACATTGCATATACAGTGCAGAGTTATATTTTCTTCTTTTACACCTTATTTTAATATCTTATTTTACACCTAATATTTTCTTCTTTCATTTTACACTCATTTTGTTGGTAAATTTTGAAATACTTAATGTGATTTTTCTTCAGGCATTCCCAATATGCTTAATGTGATATCAAATTTCCCATTTATGGTTATTGGTATACTTGGGCTTATGCTTTGCCATCGTAGAAACTATTTTAAGTTCATGTATTTTCATTTTGTCACCATCAGTTCCTTTAGCTTATGTGATTGTTGTTAATTATACAATTCAATTTTGTGTCAACAGTTTTCAAGGTGAGCGAGCTATGGGCTTGGTCGCTTGGACATGCTTTTAGTTGGTGTGGCTTCAGTTACTTTTGGGTCTTCATATTTTGATGTAGAGAATTATGTGATGTAATTTACATTGTTGATATATATATGTGTATGTAGACTGTTGCCTTGGTTGGAGAAAGTGGAAGTGGAAAAACAACAATTATCAGCCTCTTAGAGAGATTTTATGACCCTGCAATTAAGCTAATTCTGATTAAGTATTTAGCTTTGTTGTTACATACATTATGTTTATAGTTGTATCTTCTGAATGATTGATCATATTATAATTTTCTCAAAATAGTTGCCCATAATTTTTTTGCAAAATGCTTAATTGCTAAATGCATTGTACAGTATTGTTCATTGGGTGTATACTTTTGATTTGCAGCTGTAATTGCTTAATTGTTCAGTCTGAAAAATAAATTTTTTTAGCCCGCGGGCTAGCCCTAACCCATTGGGTTATATGATTTTTTGGCTCGTGTGGGTTGTTTAATATGTGGGCTTTTTGGCCATGGCCCACGTGGGCACGGGCCGGGGTGGGCCGTTTTGACAGCTCTAAAAAAATGTACAAGGCCCAAACTAATGAGTCCGAAAGAAACGGGTGACCCGAAAACCCGGGACTTTGATTGTTCTAAGTTCCGATTCAAAAATTAAAACTTTAAGCAAAACACTTTTTTCTCATTTAGTTCTCACTGATTGAAGAGTGAAGGTGGCGATGGAGGTGGAGCAGAATCTGCAACCCCTATTTCCCTATTGGAAGCCGCTTCTTCGAAGATTCCGACCTGATTCTCCTTTCTTCGCTCCGGGAAACCTCGAACGTGAACTTCTTGCTAAACAGGTTTTATTTTTATTTATTTTTTATTGTTTGGTGCTAGAGTTGTTTAAGTTTTTCTTTTTTTGACTGTTTGATTAATGATTATAAATACTTGAATGGCTGAATTTTGAAGTGGGAATTGTTATTTACCCTTTTGTGTTTCAAAGGTTGCATTGGAATTAACAGAAAAGAAGGAACAGCCTGAGAATTGGATACAAGAGGATGGAAGGTACTTGATTAAAGCATTAATGCTTGTATATGATTTTCAAATTTTGGGCTTAAAGTTTGATACCTAGACAAACCCAAAAAAATTATGTAACATATATGATATGTGATGGATTGTTATTTGTAGTTCTCTAACTGTAGTTATATGTTATTCTACTTGTTCCTCTGTGAAAGATCTTCCTTATAATTGTAGTTAATTTCTTCCTTTACATTTATATGGATAATCACAATTTTGTTGGTATTATACTCAAGGCCTTACTTTTCATTTAGGAATATGTGTTTTCCATGAAGGTGATGTTTAACTTTAAACGAAAGTTGATGAAATGGCAGTGTGTGTGACTCATTTCAAAGCTACCCTTTTTGTGCAGGGAAGTCTTTTGTCCCATTGTTGGTTGTGGAGCACGCTTGACTTCAATGGAGGACTTTGAAGATCACTATAATGCAAGGCATACTGCATCCTGTTCTGTGTGTTCCAGAGTCTACCCAACATCGCGTCTGCTCAGCATACATGTTTCTGAAGTGCATGATTCTTTCTTTCAGGCAAAAGTTGCACGTGGCTATGATGTGGTAAGTTGTTTATACGTATAAACATGATTCATTGTGGTATAATGAAATGATTTCTTATGGTATTGCATCTATCCTACACTTTAATTCTTTGTTAAAGAATCAACTAGTTTTATGTTTGTTCCCTTCTTCAGTGTTATATGTTCACTTTTGTTTCTTCAAGTTTCTTTAATAAAGTAACCCCCTTCTCTTTTTTCTTACATAAATTTATAATCTTACAAGTTGTCAACAGGAAAACTTCATTTACAATTTGGTTATTTTAAATACTGTTTAAACTTTTTTGTGCTTTCGTACATGTTTTTGGTCTTTTATCTCATTTTTAGACCTCATAGATTAGCCCGTTATCTTTTTTGCATCCGCATATTTAATTTCTCTTTTAGAGGACCATCTCGTTAATATGATCCTTATGTCTTTGTCATATAGTATGAATGCTTAGTGGAAGGGTGTGGTTTGAAATTCAAAAGCTACAAAAGTAGGCAGCAGCATCTGGTTGACAAGCATAAATTCCCTGCCTCATTTGAGTTTTGTAAGAAGGCTCGGCCTTCAAAGAAACACAGGCTGAAGTCGCATCGAAAACAAGCTGCTCATAAGGATGATGTTTCAGGATTGATGGAAGTGGAAAATGCACCCATAGATGACCTTGTTTCAGCTGTCTCTAAATTGAGCACTTCTGATTCCACTCCTTCATCTATCAGCTTTGGGCGCCGCCACAAAGGCTTGTCATTTGTCCCTCGAGCTGTTCAGCGTGGAAGTGGATCAAACTCAGCATCGTCCATGACAAATTGATAATAAGCTTGCACTCAAACCAATCTGCATGCTTAATTGCTAAATAATGAATCTTCAAATGCTGCCCCATTATGAAATCCCTGTGGATGTCTTCTGTTCAAAGGTTGAAGAAGCTGAATATGTTGAAGATTGGTAAATATAATCATGCTGGAGGATGTTACAGCATGTTAGTATTATCTTTTTGTGCTCCCACTTGGGGCCCTAAGTTTTCCTAACATAGGCAATGTGCCCATGCGAATATCTCTGACACATGATGTGGAGATTTTGAGCTCCTGTTTAGTTTGATATTGTAATGTTAACTTCTCACCTCTTTACTGAAGAGCCACTTTGTGATTAGAGTTGAAAGAAATCACTCTTACAGCTTGTCATATCATTGTAGCTTCGAATGAACATCAAGTTTGCAAACGGTGATGGCTTCCTATTTACAAGTATTGTCATTTGTACTCTTGTTAACTTTAGTGATTACTGAATAGCACCCGTATAGGGATCTGAGATTTTTACTTTTTTCGTTTAATTTTTCTTGTTCTTTCCACCGCTGCATTTCGAGTTGATAATTTATTTCTTTCATGGGATTTTAGATTTCTTCGGTAAGTTAGTTTTCAAAATCCTATGCGTGTTATTATTATTATCAAAGTTGAAGAAATGCGTACTTTTTCCACCATCGTTATTTGTCTATTTGTTTCATGGGCTTGGGAAAACTGAAGAATGAAGACACAAGCATTTCATCAGAATTTTAATTCATAAAGCTTTTATTTGGTTGATTTTGTATGGGTAATTCATGCCTTTGCTTCTTCAGCGAAAATTCTCTTGGATTTTTGAATGAATGTTAAGGGTCCTTAAACCTGTTCTACTATCTTGGACTTTAAGGGTCCTTAACATGTTTTGAGATTGCTTTGAGGATTTTTTTTTATCTTGTTCATCATCTGTTGGATTAAATGTTTGAAATATTAGATTACTTGATTGTTGCATGTCTACAGGGATGAGTAGGGTCTTTTATAACTGGGTATGGAAATTTGCTTGCTGTGCTCGCAAACTATTTGATAAAATGGCAAGATCATTCTTTATTAATTCTTTCTTAGAGTTGATAAGTTGTGAATATGTTTAATCCTCTGCTTGGAATTTTTTTAATTCACACCCTCTGCAATTTCATCAAACTATTTGTTTCACTTGCTGCTTGTGCCAGTGGATAAGGGATTATGGACAGCAACCCCATTTCATACATGATTTTCTTTTTAATTTGCATTATAAATGTGTCATGTGTGGCATATAATTGGGATAAGGAATCTTTAAGTATAGATGAAAAGCTTCCTCTGACATACATAAATAAAGACCACTTTCTTATGTGTTTTGCCTGTGCATATGCCTTAAAGTCAAAGTAATGTAATCTTTTACTCTAGAATCTTGAGTTTGAGGACTACATCTATTAGTAATTACATAGTCAAGTAATGTACATTTTCTTTTCGGGTTTTTTAGTGTGTAGAAAATGTCATGTCAGCCATTTCATATGATACATGTGGCAATCTATTTCCAACTCACCCAATGCATGCTGTGCACATATCAAACAAACTCCTTCTCACACACCCTACATGGACGCCACCTACACCCACATGAGTCGTGATGACACCTTGCATCCCCTTGTTGATTCTCAGCCTGCACCTTGACAACACTTGCCCATTTTCAAACATAATACTCATATCTCTTTCCCCAATATGCTCTCAACCGAAGCTCACTCTCCCATTTTCACATTATGCAGTTTTCTTTCTCTTTAGCCGAGGCATATACCCTATCACCATCTCCATCAATTCTCTATTTTTATTTTTTTTTGTACACATAAGACTTCCCCATAATCTAATCCTGCAATGCTCTAGGATAGTCTCCCCTCCTCATGTCCGAAGCAAGCTGACTTCTTAGGGTATTTACAACCACCTCCTAACAACCTCACATGCAGGTTGTCCCTCTTCTCTACTCCTAGCCACGGGTCTTCACAAGAAAGGAGGAGATCCTTAACTCTTATTAGAAGTGTCTGGAAAGATAACCAAATATCATTACCGGGAAGCCATTTGGTTAACCATAAATTGAAAGGTAAGCCACATTTTATAAATATCCTTCCCATCTTCGAGTATAGTTTAGCCTGTTATCTTTTTTGCATCCACTATTTAATTTCTCTTTTAGAGGACCATTATCGTTAATATGATCCCCTCATGTCTTTGTCATATAGGATGCATGCTTAGTGGTAGGGTGTGGTTTGAAATTCAAAAGCTACAAAAGTAGGCAGCAGCATCTTGTTGACAAGCATAAATTCCCTACCTCATTTGAGTTTTGTAAGAAGGCTCGGCCTTCAAAGAAACACAGACTGAAGTTGCAACGCAAACAAGCTACTCATGAGGAGGATGCTTCAGAATTGATGGAAGTGGAAAATGCACCCATAGATGACCTTGTTTCAGCAGTCTCTAAATTCAGCAGTCATTTGTCCCTCGAGCTGTTCAGAGTGGAAGTGGATCAAACTAATCACCGTCTATCACAAATAGATAATAAGCTTCCACTTAAACCAATCTTCATTCTTAATTGCTAAATAATCAATCTTCAGATGTGGATGTCTTCTGTTCAAAGGTTGAAGAAGCTGAATATGTTGAAGATTGGTAGATAGAATCATGCAAGAGGATGTTACATCATGTTAGTATTATCTTTTTGTGCTCCCACTTGGGGCCCTAAGTTTTCCTAACATATGCAATGTGTCCATGCGAAAATATCTGACACATTATGTGGAGATTTTGAGCTCATGTTTAATTTGATATTGTTATGTTAACTTCTCACCTCTTTACTTAAGAGCCACTTTGTGATTAGAGTTGAAAGAAATCACTCTTGCAGCTTGTCATATGATTGTAGCTTCGAATGAACATCAAGTTTGCAAATGGTGATGGCTTCCTATTTACAAGTATTTTCATTTGTACTCTTGTTAACTTTAGTTTTATGTTGAAATGCAGCAAGTTATTTTGGTTAATTTTCCTGCTTTTTGCACACAAGTTTTAAGATCCCTTGGGAAATTGTACTCATGTTTGCATTTTTTTAACTTCATTTCATGTGTGAGCCCAAGACTCGATGTTCTCTACGACTAGCAATTGCTGATTTTCGAAATTCCTCTACAAACAAGCAAGCAGTCAAACAGTGCATTTTTTTTGTTAAAATCAAACATTATCCTTGATATAGAATGAATAATCTAGTGAAGAAGATTTATAAATGAAAATAAGTGTATTACAAAACAGTGACAGTTGTTGACTGAAAATTTGGAGGCCACTAACCATAGTGATTTACTCAAAATTCATAATTAATCATACATTATCTCCTATAATTTTCAAAATATTATATTAATTCAAAGTAAAAATAACATATATGAAATAAAAAAGTATGTCTCTTTTTAAGGACTTAAAATCATAAACAACTCAATAGGCTAAAATTCTCAGCTACTTTTTTTAATATGCAGCAAATTTAATTTTAAATTTAAATTACATTTAGCCTGTGCAATGAAAAGCACAAATAATTTTATAGAATTGCCCACATAACATGAATCAAATGGCTATACAAAATAGTCATGGTAAGATAAACATAGCTTAAATCCATGTAAAATTAAATTATATAATTCATCCATCATAATTTTTACAACTTAAAATCCGTAATAAATTTAAGTAGTCTCACTGTAAATGAACATAAAAAATAATACTTGCTAATGTGTTGGTGATTTGTGTATTATCATCATCTTCTTGCATTCAATGAGGGAGTCAGGCTCATTTAAAATATCCCACCACAATTACATACTTGAGATTCGGACAAGACATCTGACCAAGGTAAATGTGATGCTAACTACTAAACCACAACACTTTTGTTACCTTATTATTTCTTTTTTCAAATTTATTATATATGTTTAATTAAATTTAGTTCAATTGATAAAACCAACGGCCATTAACCCAATGCTTTGACCGAGTCGAAACCTGTTCATGTTTAATAAAATTGGTTTAAATTCAATATTTAAAAAATATTTTAGTTTTCTTTAAGTCAAAATATTAACGTAAAAAATTAGTATTTTATTTTCTTTGTTTTCTTTTTCTTTTTAAACTAAAATTTAAATACCTAATAAATTAATTACGTGCTTTGGGGAAAGCGATTTTTCTCTGGTCCCCAAAGAATTTGTTTTGGCCATGATTTGAACCCCCTAATAAAAGCAAACTCTTGGGCACTCAGTTATCAACTGTGCTACCCTTAAGAGCCGTGCTCCGAGAATAATATGGTTAGAGGAGGCTGTGTGGGAACATTTCTAGATTATTTATAATAAAAAATAAAAAGTTATTTTTTTAAACAAAATAACTTTGAAAAATCATTCTGGCGCTTTTGAAAAATCACATGTTCTTAACCTTTCTTTCTTTAATGAATAATTTCCTTAACGAATGTTTAAAGTTCTTTATTTTTACCTTAATTTTTTCCCAGGATTTTTTTTTTTTTTTTGAAAATGAGGGATATACGTAAAAAAAAGGTTACATAATCTTGGGCTTATAAACGGACATCATATCTCTGCTCCACGAACAATCTAGCTCTAACTCTAAGCAAGTGGATCACGTCTTCAGGAGCAAGATTGCATCTTGGGAACAAGGAGCATGTTGTTAGATAGATGCCTTTGAGTTCTCCTCGCAAAATTCATTGGTTAGAAGGTGATTTACCTTCTCCGACTCTTCCAATTCCAACAATAGGTAGGCAGAGATTTTACTGAGAAAATGCCGTCACTTCACTTGTTTCTCCCCCAAGTCATCATATCTTCATCGTTCTGAGAGGTGGGAGCCATAATGTTTGCTATGGCTTCACATGACTTATCTGATACAAATTGGGTGATCAAATTCCAGTTCCAATCACCATTATCATTCACCAACTTGTTCACTGTCCAGTTGCACATTTTCCTTCGGCATTTTAATAGCATCTTTTGGTTGAATGCAGACGTTGTTGATAAGCCAACGATCCTGCCAAAACCTGGTATTGGTCCCAACACCCAGTTGGATCCTCGCAGTTTTTATGTAGCAGTTTTTACATATCTTTACAATGCATAGAGTCAGTGGCGGACCCAGGAAAAAAAATTTATGTCCGCACAATCAGTGGCGGGGTTCGGGGGCAGCGCCCCCGAATTTTTTTTTTATATAAAAGTTTAAATTAACGCTTGAACCCGCTCATAATCTAGTTGCTTCCATAACAAGCTGCAGACAATAGTTTGACCAATTATTTTCCCCCTAAATCTTATCAATCCTTCAAAACAAATATGAGAATATACTCCAGTACATCCATACATCATCATTCTATTTTGGGATATGTTATTTTACCTAACATTTTTCTGCCTACCTTTGCCTACCACTCTCCAATACCGTTAGATCAAAATCTCAAGAAGAGAGAAAAAGATAAATGTTAGTTAAGATTCTGATCTAACGGTGTTGGAGGGTGGTAGGTAGAGGTAGGCAAAAAAATGGTAAG